TACTACTAGTACTAGCACTATGTAGTGTGTGAGATAATTCCCCAATCACAAATAGCTAGTGAATAACCTCACTCTTTATTGTAAACCACATATTATCGTAGACTAGAGAGCCAAACAGCATTTCACAGGTTACAAGCAGCAACCGACCTACCTCAGCTCATCAACCATCATCAGACCATCATCACTGATTGAGTAGAGGATTAACCTCCTAGTAGTAGTAGTAGTAGTATCCCAATTCTTCATTGTGGTAGCACCCTTCTACCTTACCAAAACAATTATTTTGGTCTTGCACATACCTTAAAAAAGAAGAAGGACATCCTTGCCTGCTAACATTTTGAATGTTAATCACATATGCTAAATTTAAGCAAAAACCACATTATTCACTTCTACACAAGCCCACAGCAGTGTTAACATTGGGAATGTTAACTTAGTGTTGTTCCAAATGCTGCATTTAGCAAAAGCTCAATTGTTATTTTATGCGTACTAGTACAACAAATTGGGAAAAAATATCATGTCAACAAAATTGCACACAATTATTSACTCATCCTCAACAAGTTACAAACAAAAACTATCAAGCAACCATGATACCATGTACTACTAGCAATCAATATTTGATGAACTCAGAGCCTGCAACAGATTAGGCAAAACAAAGTTTGATGGAAAAAATATTTTTTTCAGTGTTAACCAAAAATGCTGCACTTCTCTTTCAAGTGATAAGCTAATGATGAACAAACTTCACTACTAATACTGAGAGACAATTCTTTGCTTTACTCGACCGCATGACAACACTATCTATCTGACAAACAAATTGAGTTCAGTAGTATGGTACRAAGGCTAGTACTAAAATAATAAAAAAATTTAAAAAGAACGGAAATTATTCGACGACCAATCATCACTAGAATACAGTGAGATACCTTTTCTTCCTTGAATTTTGAAATTACATGTTACATTACATTTTCCATATCTGCTATGTCGAAGAGAACTACTCAATCCGCAAATGACCTTGAATTTGCCCGCCTTTAGCATCAAAAAGTCCAACGAGCGACTTCCTCCTTAATCTGAGAGGTTGATGGACGCTCTGTCAAGCTTGGTCTTCAAGTAGTATACGTATGCAGCCAAAAGAACAAAGGCAACAACAAARACTCCAATGAAGATCGAAGCGGTCTTGTTGGCCTTTGATCCAACTTGAGTGATGATACCATCCTTTCGAACAACCTTGATTCCCTGGATGTAGTTGCAGGCATTGTTGTTTGCTGATGARACGTATCCCGTGGATTCGAGGCCTTGTTCGCACTTTCCAGCACCTTGGTAAATTTGTTCGCACATTTCAATGACTTGATCCTCGTCTTGAGCGTCATTTCCGTCATTGTTGAAGTCTTCAGGTTCTTTGCATGAAACACAATCCATGGAAATGAGAGATTCAGAACCGTAAGGAAGAGATTTTCCGGCCATTGAGCTGTACGTTTCTTGTCCACCGTAGTCGTCAGCGAAGGATGTGCATGTGTCGTCAGTGAAAAGACCCATGAAAATCGCTCCTCCCTGTTCAGCACAGTATGGTCCAATGAAATATTCGATTTCTTCTTCGTCCAGTCGRCGACGCTCCTCGTTTTGGAACTCTGCCTGTTTACATTCGACGTATTCAGCAAGGTYGAACTCTTCTTCCTGTTCCTGTTCATCATCRTTATAAGGGTTTCGGTCKGCACAAGTATCTGCAATTCCGTGCTCGACATAACAGTCATACTCACAAATTTCTGCRTCGAAATCATCTCCCTTATCATCACCATCTTCACAGTCACACAACATATTGGCAGTGTACTCGCATTTGTATTGGTTGTAGTTTTCAAGGGCCTCGTAGTAAGATTCGAGGAAAGTGTTCATGTCAATRACGTAGTCCCCATAGTTCGAGTCGCATCCCCCGGCCTTGTCAGGGCTGCATTCGTATGCTGGGCAGAGACGGAATCGGATCAATCGCTTGGTCTCGATGCGCACGTCTTCTTCACCATCGGCCTCGTCGTTCCATTGGCTGATATGATGGCATCCTTGGAATTTGATGGAGAAGTTGGAAACCCATGTGAAATCGATTTCGTTTTCGTCTTCAAGCTTACGAGCTTTGCTGAGAAGGCTCATTCCCAGAGCAGAATCTGCCTTTACATCATTGAGGCTATCAAATTTCTTGACTGGTGCYTTGTTTTTGGGGTTGCCGTAAATGGGCAAAGCGGCGGTCGCCAAACCGAATGTAAGGAAATTCAAAAGAAACTTCATTGTTCTATATTGCTACTGTGGTTATGATAATCARAAGAGTATCACAAGGCGAAAAATCACAAAATTAACCAACATCACCAATTGAAAAARAGAAATTGATATGAGAATGGAATCACTTTCGTCGCCGCTTTCTGAAAAGTCGAGTGGAATTTTCCTTTGTTCAACAGTCCTTGTAATAATAGTTTTCACGAATAACCATTGATGATGGGTTTGGGTTGCCTTCGTTACGCTTACCTTGATTAGTGATGCAAAATATTATTGTGGCATAGAGCCTAGTGTATTGTCCTGTTTCAATCTGTTTGAATGCGAAGATTAGAGACACTTATCTCGAGGTTTGCTGGCTTAGGATTTCTATCCGTTACTCTGATAGCAGGCCGAGCCTCATTGGTAGCGCCTCTCGCTTTTTTTACTGCAAGGTGGAGTTTCAACGCTTCTGCGATTCGCTAGAAATCGGTACAACAAAATTTCCTGCGATACAAGCCAAMACGAAATGCGCGCGCTTCCAATTGTGTGTTGTTACGATCCAATAGTTCCGCATATATAACCTTCATTRACTAATACATATATATTTTAAATTTGTTTAACTAAAAATGCGTTCCAGTTCTACCTTGCTCATTGAACGTCTCTTTTTTTCGACGAGAGTTCCAAGATCGAGCTCTTTCGATTTGAGCATCACCCAAAAACTGAAGACTTCTAATACAACTACTTTTGCCTCTTCACCAGTCAACWCTGTTGCCATAATAAGATTAAAAGGTGTGTGGGGAACAACGCTGTAGCGATTGGCGAATTGATGGACGACCACGAATAGATAGGGACGATGTTCGAAATCTTCGCAGGGGCATCGAACAACTTAATGCGATTGGAAATCATGAATCTGTCTCCCTGCAATGAAAATAGGCGACGAAACGCTGGTCTCTAGTCGAGAAATAAATCTGATCCAGCCAGGCTGTATGACTGACTATGAGCTTACGATTATTCTGTGTCCGTTTTCTTCTTATTTCGCAAACAGGTTATAATTAAAATGAAGTTCAGCATCGCATTCACAGCTCTCACCGCAGCCGTTGTCTCGGCAAACCCTTTTGCTCCTGCCAAGAGCCCCAACTCATCGAAGACAAAGTACATGTCGAAGTTGATGCGTAATGCTCGCCCTACACCAAACTCCCAACTTGGACGTAAACTTGATGAAGAAGAGGCAGAAGCAGAAGAATACGAAGTTGACATCTCGGGATACTCGCTGAAATTCGAACAATGTCAATTCGTCAAGGCGTATGATGACGAACTCGCTGGAGAAGACTCCGATAGCGTTCTCGCCACTCGAAGGTTCGTCATTTTCCGCCTGTGTCCTTCTGACGCCTGCGACTCGTGCAATTACAATTTCGGTGAGTACATCGTCGACCTCGAGGAATACTTGGAGGCGACWGTAAACTACCAGCAAGAAATGCAAGAAGAGATGTGCAATGCTTGCGAGGAAAACTGTCAATGGGAAGAAGACGMGGAAGAGGAGGAAGAAGATAACGGACGTCGTCGCCGTAAGCTTGAAGATTACGGCTCCAATTGCAATACCTGTTACGAGGAATGTATGAAGATTGAGAACATGGAAGACAACGGATACATTGACGCCACCCAATTTCTTGATTGTCAGATGGTCTACGATCCCGAGGATGAYGGCCTTTCTGCCCTTTACGCCGGACCTATGTGTGCTAGCAATGGATCTAARATCAAGATTGGAATYTTCACTGACGAAGAATGTAATGTTCCTGATTCCGACAAGGACGTAGACGATTACCTCATGGACGGAGACGGTGTCAGCATGAAACTGTCCCATGCTCTTTTGAAGACTGTRTACTCCAGTGAGTGTGTCTCCTGCTTGGCACCACAAGAAGAGGAAGAAGACGACGAAAATGGAGATGAAAACGATAACGGAGATGAAGAGGAAGTCGAAGTCCTCGAAATGTGCGAACAACTCTACCAAGCTTCCGCCAAGTGTGAGAAGACCAATGGATTTGATAACGGATACGCTAGCTATGACGGATACGAGAACCAGCTTGMGCAAGAAAGTGTTGTATGTGATTTTGTCGAATCGTTGAAGGCAGGAAGTTATGACGAATCTGGAGAGATTGTCGTAAACGGAAAGAGTTCTTCTGTYGGTGGAGGATCCCAGACCACAGGAGGACAAAAGTTTGCCCTGACTTTCTTCATCCTTGGAACTGCTGGACTTGCTGGATACGCTGCCATGCTTCATTCCAAACTTACAAAAGGTACTATGGGCCTCGCTGAAACTGGAGGATCCTTGGCATAAACAACAATCTCTTGAWTTCTGATGATTGTGTTGCATGGCAGGCCTTCAGACTGACAACAGTAACAAGCAACAACCTAATTTGTATCATTAAGTCCTCCCATTTTATGGCTTKTGTAATTGTGAAAACACACTAAAACATAAAAGAATCACTAAACACTTAAAACCAATTTCACTAACAAGAAAGAAGTGAACGAATGTCATGAAGTACTGTACAGTTGAAACACTTAATTGGATATGCTTGGGAAAATAGAATAACTTTTGTGGTTTCAGTTGAGTTTTGAYATTTGAAGGCTTATCTGTCAACTAAAGGCCTGCGTATTTTATGTTCCACCATCAATCTGATTTTGCTTTTAGTCTCCATTTCATGTTACTTCTAGCTATCCATGCACACGGGTATTCAATCTCATTCTTGTTGAACTGCAACATCGTTGTCTCTTGGAATCAAAGATACTTCATCTCAGATGAGGATGTAAATCATAGTGTTGAGTATCGTAATGYTTTGTGTAAAAAGCTACGTTCCTAAAAACATTACTAACCAAAAAATTAGGTAGAACGTTTGAAAAACGTCAGTGTGAATAAAAAACTAAACATTCACAAAAAATTTCCTGAGTGTTTCTACATGCTCATTGCATGCAATGGAGTATGTACGTACATGGAAGTATATGTATGTACAATATGGAATTAAGGATACCACATATGATATGGAATTAAGGATACGTAGGATACGGAATTGGTATGGTTGGATATACCATTCCTACCTATGCATCATAGGGTACCATTCCTATCTACGTATCATACGATCTATCATACGATCCATCATACCATCCATCATACCGAGAGGTCTAAAATACGAGTTACGGTGACGTCGTAAAAGGAATAAAGATGTCATGAGTTAAGAATAGAAAGAACCCCAGTAGAATCAGTACTGTGATCTACATAGGGATCTTATCGGAACTCAAGAATTTCCATTGTCGACTCGTATAAAACGTTCCTTACACATAATGAAAATAGGAAAGTTGTGACAACAGTTCAAACATCATTATTTACTACTACTTGTATTTACTAAATACTAGGATGTGTATCCAATTGAAGACAAACATGTATGATTTGACACCAGCCATAAAACAACTTCTTAACTCTTGACAAATAAAGTCTTCTT